CTCTGAAGGGTCTGGGGGGGCTCTGAGGGGATCCTGAGGTGGCTCTGAGGGGATCCTGAGGGGGCTCTGAGGAGATCCCGAGGGCTCTGGGGGGATCCCGAGGGCTCCGCGGGCTCCGCTGCCGCCCCGAGCGCTGCCGCCGCCTCCCTCACCCTCACCCGCGGCTCTCCGCTCCGGGCCCGGCTCCGCCGGCGCCTGACCCGCTCCCGGGGCCGCTGCCGGTGCCGCCCCGCCTGTCGCTGTCCCCGGTTCCTGTCCCGGTTCCTGTCCCGGTTCCAAGCCCCGGTTCCAAGCCCCGGTTCCTGTCCCGGTTCCTCTCACGGATCCAACCCCGGTTCCCGTCCCGGTTCCCGGTCCCGGCCCGCAGCAGCTCCGCGTCCCTCTCGCCGCCCGCTCTCGCGAGACTTCCCGCCCTCCCTCTCGCGAGACTTCGTGGCCTCCGACGGCGGCGCGAGAGGCCCAAAACGCGCCGGGGTTTTTTTTCGGTTTTCTTTTTTTTCGCATTTTCTTTTTTTTTTTTTTTTCCTTAATTTTTGTCTCCTTTTTTGGTGGTATGACGTCACCCGCGTGACGTCACGGCGAATCCCTTTCCCCGCACCCATCCCCATTCCCGTCACGCACGGAAAAGCCCAAGAGCCGCTGTCACAGAACAAAACTCGGCTTTATTTAACAAAAACTCCAACGTTTAACCCCAAAACTGCCGAACCCGGATTTGGGGGGCCCAAAACGCCCCAGACCCCCCCCCAAAAGCAGCCCAACCCCCCTCTCCCACCACCCTGCACCGCTCGGGGGGGGTCCCGGGGGTCTTGGTCCCCTCAGAACCCATCAGGATCCCCAAAATCTCATCAGGACCCCCAAAATCCCATCAGGACCCCCCAAACTGCATCAGGACCCCCCAAAATCTGGTCAGGGCCCCCCAAACTTCATCAGGACCCCGCTAAACCCCATCAGGACCCCCCAAAAATCCAGCCAGGACCCCCAGACTCCGTCAGGGCCCCCCCGGGGGGGGCAGCTTGCCCGTGATCTTGTTGGTGCCCTCCAGCAGGGCGTTGTGGATGTCCTTGGCGCCGGCGATCTGGGCCTTGATCAGGGGCAGGTACTGCGTGTAGGGCAGGCTCTCCGAGCCCCCCCCGGGACCCCCCTCGCCCTTGGGGGCCGCGGGCACCAGCGCGGGGGCGTGCTTGGCGCTGTCGAAGCTCTGCGCCAGGCACTCGTGGGCCAGCCGCTGGGGGGGGTTTTGGGGGGGTTAGAGGGGATTTTGGGGGGGTTGAGGGGATCTCGGGGGGGTCGTGGGGGGTCCCGGGGGTGCCGGTGGGTTTGGGGCTGATTTGGGGCTGATTTGGGCTGATTTTGGGTCTCATTTGGGGGTGGTTTTGGGTCTGATTTTGGGCGGGTTTGGGCTGATTTTGCTTGGTTTTGGCGGATTTTGGTCGGATTTTGGCTGGTTTGGGCTGGCTTTCTCTGATTTTGGCCGGTTTTGGCCAGTTTTGTCTGATTTTGGCTGATTTTGGCCCGTTTTGGCCGGTTTTTGCTGTTTTTGTCTCATTTTGTCTGATTTTTGCCGGTTTTGTCTCATTTTGGCCGATTTTGGCCGTTTTTGGCCGTTTTTGGCCGGTTTTTGTCTGGTTTTGTCTCATTTTGGCCGGTTTTGGCCGTTTTTGGCCCGTTTTGTCTGATTTTGGCCGTTTTTGGCCGTTTTTGGCCGTTTTTGTCTCATTTTGTCTCATTTTGGCCGGTTTTGGCCGTTTTTGGCCCGTTTTGTCTGATTTTGGCCGTTTTTGGCCGTTTTTGGCCGTTTTTGTCTCATTTTGTCTCATTTTGGCCGGTTTTGGCCGTTTTTGGCCCGTTTTGTCTGATTTTGGCCGTTTTTGGCCGTTTTTGGCCGTTTTTGTCTCATTTTGTCTCATTTTGGCCGGTTTTGGCCGTTTTTGGCCCGTTTTGTCTGATTTTGGCCGTTTTTGGCCGTTTTTGGCCGTTTTTGTCTCATTTTGTCTCATTTTGGCCGGTTTTGGCCGTTTTTGGCCCGTTTTGTCTGATTTTGGCCGTTTTTGGCCGTTTTTGGCCGGTTTTTGTCTGGTTTTGTCTCATTTTGGCCCGTTTTGGCCGTTTTTGTCTCATTTTGGCCGTTTTTGTCTGATTTTGGCCGTTTTTGGCCGTTTTTGGCCGTTTTTGGCCGTTTTTGGCCGTTTTTGGCCGTTTTTGGCCGTTTTTGGCCGTTTTTGGCCGGTTTTTGTCTGGTTTTGTCTCATTTTGGCCCGTTTTGGCCGTTTTTGTCTCATTTTGGCCGTTTTTGTCTGATTTTGGCCGTTTTTGGCCGTTTTTGGCCGTTTTTGGCCGTTTTTGGCCCGTTTGGCGCCCAGGTTCGTGCAGTACAAGGCCACGTCCCTGGAGAAGCAGCACAAGCACGACCTGCTGACAGAGCCCGACCTGGGGGTGACCATCGACCTCATCAACCCCGACACGTACCGCATAGACCCCGGCGGTGAGACCCCAAAACTGCCCAGAATTCACCCAAAAACTGCCCCAAAAACTGCCCCAGAACTGCCCCAAAAATCACCCAGAACAGCCCCATCGACCTCATCAACCCCGACACGTACCGGATAGACCCCGGCGGTGAGACCCCAAAACTGCCCCGAATCGCCCCAAAAACTGCCCCAAAAACTGCCCCAAAACAGCCCCAAAAACCACCCCAAAACCGCCCCGAAACTGCCCCAAAATCCACACAAATCCCCCCAAAACCGCCCCGAAACTGCCCCGAAAACTGCCCCAAATCTCCCAAAAACCCCAAATCCCCAGAA